GAAGGACAAAATAAATAACAAAAGACAATTTAAGAAAAATAAATATTTTATTGAAATTATTATGGGTTTTGAACCCTCGAATACAAAATACAATTCTTGGGTTTGGAACCCTTTACCTATTCATCGTCATTAACGAAGGCTCTTGAGTTTTCTAGGCTTCTCTTCTTCTTTCTTGTAACGACTTCCTTAGCTCTCAATTTCTTTCTCTCTCTCTGATCTTTTCACTTCTGATTTTCTAATCCCTCGTCTTGTGTGATGTTCCTCATATTTATAGAGGGCCATCAGGTGATAGGAATGCCTCATCTTCAATTTGAATTTCAAATTGAATGATAGCGCCATTTGAATTTTGAATAATAGCGCTATCTGATTAACCGGATTGATCTTTGGGGTTTCATCCTGTGTGGTGTCCTTGCTGTAGGCTCTACAGGTGCCATCTTTCGTAAGCTCCATGTGTCACTTGAGCATTTTGAATGACGTCTTGAGATACGACGTCATTTTATTTATGCACCTCAACGGATCATATTGATCTTTTTAGGAAGTGATTACCTATAACATTCCTATTATAGGCTCTATACGTATCATTGATTGATTGACCGTATTTGAAATTTTAACATAAATTTGTTGAAATTTATGTGCCAACAAATGCCCCTCGTGATTTGTACAAGTGAATTTTTTTTTAACTGTGCAAATCACGACAACTTGGCACTTTTATTTAGGCCTTCTTTAGATCATAGATTGTATTACCTCTTGGCCTTCATCACTTTCGGCCCCTTTGACTTTCTTTTATTTTATTTTATGGACTTAATTTTTTTATGGGTCAATTGCTCTTTATAGTCCATGACCCTTTTTGTGGACTTGATCCATTTTTATTATTTTTATTAGGGTCATGGGTAAGATCCAGGAATTTAATTGGGCCTTTCCTTTTGCGGGCCTCCAAGTTGCCATCATTTTTTTATTTTTTTTTTACAGCAGATTTTTTTTAGGCCATCATGGGTATTGATGGGTATGGTCCAAGATTTGTTTGGGCCTTTTCTTTTGTGGGCCTCTTTCTTCATTCCATGTGGGCTTTTCACCAACTTGCCACTATTTTTTTTTTTTTACAGCATATATATATATATATATATTTTAGGAGTTTGTCTAAATACAATAGGATGGGTTGGCATTGGTAGGATTTCTAATCCTACACACTCTTCTATGGAGTATTTCAAATCCTACATAAACTCTTGCTTCTTTGAAGTATTGTAGGAGACCACTACCTCTTTTCTTAAGTAAGACTTTTCCTTTATATTACACCTATTCATATATTTTTCCCTGCAGCCTTTTTTTTCCTGCAGATTTTGTTTCTCCTAGCAGATTTTTTTGTTTCCAGAAAATCTTTATCCTTCTAGCAACTTTCTAGCTGCAACTTTCCAGCCATTTTCTTTCTTCTTTTTCCAACAAAAGTTGTTCTTCTTATACTTTAAAGAAGACACAAAAGAATCTCTTCAAACTCCTTTAAATCAGGTATGCTTTCTTCTCCATAAAATATTTTCTTTCAGCATGTATATCACCATGTGACAGACTTTTCCAAAAAATTTTACTAGACCCCAAGTCCAAGTAGTCCCAACAAAAGACCCTTCTTGAAAGGATGAATAACCTACTGCCTTCTTTCATAACAAAAGCTGTAGCCTCTTTTCTTTTTATTATTTTATTATTTTTATTTTTACTTGAACAAAAAACTTCTGCCTTTCAAGCAAATTTTTTCCTAACCCAAAGTCTTTCTTGAACAAAGACCTCTTTTTTTTTTGGTCACAGTTTAATCTGCTTGCTGCCTTATAAATATATATTTTGTTGCTAGATCATGAACTTAACTAGCCCAAATAAAGTCCTTGCCCTATACAAACAAAAGGCCCGTTTTTTTTTTTTTTTTAAAAAAACAAAACCTGCAAGAATTTTTTTCCTAGATCATGAGTTTAAATAGCCCAAGTAGAATTGTTGACATGGAAGGTCTCTTGTCTTCTGGCAGTAGTCTTTTTTTTTTAAAAAAAAGCAAAACCTGCAAGAATTTTTCCCTAGATCATGAGTTTAAATAGCCCAAGTAGAATTGTTGACATAGCAGGTCTCTTGTCTTGTGGCAGTGGTCTTTTTTTTTAAAAAAAAAGCAAGACCTGCAAGAATTTTTCCCTAGATCAGGAATTTAAATAGCCAAGTAGAATTGTTGACATGGTAGGTCTCTTGTCTTCTGGCAGTGGTTTCAATTGATCCCTGTTGGAATTTTCTGTCACATCTTCAGAAGGTAGGCCACATAGTTCCAGACCAAGATGGTCGAATTCTACCATCTCAGTTTCAGCTGGTCCATTTTGAATCTAATCTAACCAAAGCCTGCTCCTCGTGATTCGTGCCAGTGTTTTTTTTTTTTTTTAAAAAAAAAAACAAAACCTGCAAGAATTTTTCCCTAGATCATGAATTTAAATAGCCCAAGTAGAATTGTTGACATGGTAGGTCTCTTGTCTTCTGGCAGTGGTTTCAATTGATCCCTGTTGGAATTTTCTGTCACATCTTCAGAAGGTAGGCCACATAGTTCCAGACCAAGATGGTCGAATTCTATGAGTGAAGGTAGGCCACATAGTTCCAGACCAAGATGGTCAAATTCTACCATCTCAGTTTCAGCTGGTCCATTTTGAATCTAATCAAAGCCTGCCCCCCGTGATTCGTGCCAGTGAATTTTAACTGTACGAATCACGACAACGAAGTATATATATATATATATATTTTTTTCTCAACGAAGTATATATATATATATATATTTTTTTCTTTCATATTTTTTTCTTTCATGCTTTTTTACCTCTTTTGCAGGCAACACGCAAGGCTTCAACGTTTGTTTGCAGGTATCATTACCCTTTCTAACCTAATGGCAATGAATGGCTTGAATCTTTGGCAGTGATTGTGTCCTTTCACCCCAATGGCTTGAATCCTTGGCAGTGATTGTGTCATTTACCTCAATAGCTTGAATCCTTGGCAGTGGTTGTGTCTTTTCACCCCAATGGCTTGAAACCTTGGCAGTGAATGTGTCTTTCACCCCAATGGCTTGAATCCTTGGCAGTGATTGTGTCCTTCACCCCAATAGCTTGAATCCTTGGCAGTGATTGTGTCCTTCACCCCAACGGCTTGAATCCTTGGCAGTGATTGTGTCCTTCACCCCAACGGTTGGAATCCTTGGTAGTGAATGTGTCCTTCACCCTAACGGCTTGAATCCTTAGCAGTGATTGTGTCCTTCACCCCAACGGCTGGAATCCTTGGCAGTGATTGTGTCCTTCACCCAACGACTTGAATCCTTGGCAGTGAATGTGTCCTTCACCCCAACGGCTTGAATCCTTGGCAGTGATTGTGTTCGTCACCCCAACGGCTTGAATCCTTGGCAGTGATTGTGTCCTTCACCCCAACGGCTTGAATCCTTGGCACTGATTGTGTCCGTCACCCCAACGGCTTAAGTCCTTGGCAGTGATTGTGTCCGTCACCCCAGCTGCTTGAATCCTTGACAGTGATTGTGTCCTTCACCCCAATGGCTTGAGTCCTTGAGTCCTTGGCAGTGATTGTGTCCGTCACCCCAACGGCTTGATTCCTTGGCAAGGGGCTTTCGTCAATTTCTTTATATTATGACATTTTACCTTCACTAACCCCATTTTTTTTAAAAATTATTTTTATTTTTTTTTAGGAAGCATGGAAATGACACTTAAATATCTTCGACATGACGAGAGGGGTGTATTGGATAAATCTGGTCCGAAAATAATTTGGCACAAACCTATCACTGCTTTATTGTCACCTACCGAGTTGGACCCCTACATCCTTTTACATACGGCTTTTGAAGACTTGGTCTATACAGGAATTCGAAACTGTTGTGAGATTCACGAGAAAGGGCACTCCAAATCAATCGGTTCATTCCCTGTCTCAATCCTCTGTTCATTTTCTGAAGACCTTGACTGCTCTGAATTTAATACTCTTCTTAAGAGAATGAAACATGAAAAATTGAAGTGGGATAATTCTTTTAATGTTCGCGGCATTTGTACCCATTTGCAATCCCCTAAATGGATTTTTTGGTTGAATGACGTTCTTTCCACATTTGCCCTTATTTTGAAGAAGTGTGGGATTTATGCTGCAATCTATGTATCCCAATTTGCTTATGCTAGGAATGTCTCCCTGCTCAATGGATTCTTAGAGCGGTGGTCACCCGACACCAACACTTTCCACACCATTTATGGCGAACTTGGGATCTCTTTATGAGACCTTCATCGCATTAGCAGGCTCCCCATCCGTGGCAAGTTTTATGAAGAGTTCACCTCCTCCAATGACATTTTATATTCGTTCCAGACATCCAAGGCGTGCCGTGGGCTTTTCAACATTTATGCCAGCTCTTTTCAATCCAAGAAGTTTAACCACTGGACTTTCAAATTCATTGACGAATCTCCAACTTCGATTAGTGGTTTTCAATGAAAAGATAGAATCCCTGATGATGTGTATCTTTCTGGGTTTTTGGCGGGCTGGCTTAGCGGATTTGTCTGCCCTCACTTTTCCGGGGAAATTCGTCCGACTACGTTTCATGTAGCCACCAAAATGGCCGGTGGAACCTTATTTAGCTTGGCCATCCCCGTCCTTGCGTACCTCTGTCATTCTTTTGGTAAATTGGCATCATCACCTTCACCTGGGAAGGAAAATATTTAGGGTCCTTTGCATTACCTTTTTGGATGGATTTCACTATATTTTGTTAAGACTTACTCTCATGGGGATCCTCAATCGATTTGTCCGATTCCTGATATTCATTTCATGCCATATCTTGGGTTTATTGGAAACCAATCGGCTGCCCAGTTTTTTACTGATAAATTTTCATTTGTGGACTCTCTCCTAACTTATCGTACGGAGTGTCAGTTTAGGGCTCTTACCCATGAACCTTCAGGCGTTCTGGTCGACTCTGAAAGGATATCACCTTTCCACCTTGGCTATCTTATATCTTTGAGGCAAGGGATTTTAACTTTTAAAATGGGATTTAATTTCATTTATGAACCGTACTCCCCTAACTGATATGGTCGTCAATTTGGGTTTGCTCAAGTGTGCCCTACAGTGCTTAATGTATCTTGTCGGCAGCCCTCTGAGTGGTCAAAATTTTATTACAACTGGCGCCATATGCTACGCTGCGGTACAAAAGTCTCATCGGAGTTACTAGGCTCCCGATCTGCTTCTCACGTAACCATGCCTTATGCCAATTGGTGGTTGGGAACTTTCTTTACCGTGCTCCAATATGTTACTCATACCCAGCCGAAATGTTCACGCAAGAGAAAACTGGATGTCAATTAAAGACCGAAAGATGAAGAATCCTTCTTATTCTAGAGCTAGGTCATCATCTTCACCTAGTGCTCTGGAAGCATCACCACCTCAGGGAATGGATAATAGTCGACCACTTATTACTTGGTTTCAGATCTCCTTCATCTTTTCGAGGATATGTGTAATTCTCAATTTAAAATGAGATTTAGCTTTGAGCAAGTAGATTCTCTGGCCCTCAATTTTCTAGTCTAGCAAAGTTTTTTTCAGAGACTATGTCTATTAGTGATTGTACAGGAACTTCCTAACCAACAGTATCGACCAAAAGCCCAATAGACCAATTTCGCACATACCTGTACTCTTTTCTTGAAGATAAAGATGAGAATATGATTCAAGAACTCTTTGAGGGAGATGGGTATGAATTACCTGCCTTGGGTCGTATTCGCATTAAGAGTGTTGAAATTTCTTCTCCCACCAAATCTTTTGATCGTTTTCTCAGTGGGAGTAGCGAGAGTGAAGATGAGTTTTATTGCTACACCCCTCTTTTAGATGGCACGCCAACTAAGATGAGTAAATTGCCCCCAGCAAATGTAGCTTTTTCTTCTCCTTCTTCGAACGAGCCATCCAAGCTATTAGAGAAAGGTATAATTCTTTTTCCTTTTTTTAATTTTAATACCTTTCATTTTCTTAGGCACTGCGCCTCGGACTTCCCTAGCTGCCTTGCATATGCCATTGGCTACCTTTAAGGGTATTCTTATTCATTCATTGTACCTCATTTTATTTCATCATGTATACATACTCAAGGAACTCTTTTCTCTTTAGATCATGCCACATTGCAAAATTTGTGGTCAACTTGTGGGAATCACAACTTGTCTCCTCCTCCACCTAAGTCTCTTCAAGCCGTACACCAAGGTATATTTCATTCATCTATATATATATATATATTGTTTTTACCTTTTATGTTTTCATTGAGTATCTCCTTCTATTTTCACAGAAAGTACTTCTGACACATTGGAAGAGACAGACGAAATTACTTCTGATACCTCGGAAGAGGCCCAAATTCCTACAGACTTACTTGAAGCAAATGGGGTTAACAAATTATTTGACAAACTTGAAGCAACCTTTGCTCCATCTAGCCTTCTTTTGGGAACTTCCTCTAATGAAGCAGCCACCCATATTCAGAAAGATCTTACTATTTCTCTCCAATCAATGATGGATCTAAATGGCATGATTGTTGTAGCAAACAACGTTTTCGTGATTTTGAAGAGTTTGGGTGTAGACTTCATCTCCTTTTACGAGAAGGTGAAGATATTCCTTGGGTGCTTTGCTTTGAAAACCCAACTTGCAGATTCTTCAAACTTGTCTACTGCAAAATTTGAGGCCCAATACTATGAGAAGAAGCTTCATTTTGACAAAGTTTCTGGCGAACATGAACAGTTGTCTGCTTCAATTATCAAGTCGGATGAGCACATTGCGGGTCTTAATCAAAGGATTATTTAAACCAAAGAGTTACTCAAACAACTTGAAGAGGAATTTTCATCCACCCAAGCGGAACATGCATCCTTTATGTGTGATTTTGCACAAGCTTCCGAGAGTGTTTCTAAATCAGAAGAAGACGTGCAAACTGCTCTAAATGTTTTGAGCCAACACAAGAAGAAGAATGGACAACACAGTGTTGTGGAACGTGCTTTTGAAAGGGTTAAGGCTTCTCTTAATGAATGAATGCACTTTTATTTTGTTATTCATCCGAGCATAATGTATTTATGAAATTTCGCTCAGTGATAGATTTATTTGTTATATGAAATTTCTCAATATAATACATTGATTTGTCTTATTTTAGCCGTTCACGGTTTATACTCTTGCGGGCCAAGAGTATCCAATGTTTTATCACCTTAGATTTCGGTGAGGTATTCTAGCAGTTTGACCACATACAATACCGTTGGTGGTATTCGACTTTTGTTTGGCTATACATAGTTTATACTCTTGCGGGCCAGGAGTACCTAATGTTTTATCACCTTAGATTTCGGTGAGATATTTTAGCAGTTTAACCACATACAATAACGTTAGTAGTTTTGACTTTTGTTTAGCCGTACACAGTTTATACTCTTGCGGGCCAAGAGTATCCAATGTTTTACCACCTTAGATTTCGGTGAGATATTTTAGCAGTTTAACCACATACAATACCGTTTGTGGGATTCGAATTTTGTTTGGCCGTACACAATTTATACTCTTGCGGGCCAGGAGTATCTAATGTTTTACCACCTTAGATTTCGGTGAGATATTTTAGCAGTTTAACCACATACAATATTGTTAGTGTTTTTTTTTTTTTTTTTTTAAAATTTTTTTTTTAGTCCTAACTTTTGCCTAGGCCACCCTTTCGAGTTTTCAACCTAGCAGGCTTTCTTAAGGGTAATATCTCTTCAAGAACCTTGCATTGGTTGGGGGAATGATTCTGTCACCATCCATCGTTATCAACAAATAGGCCATTAGAATAAACCTTCTCAATCACATAAGGTCCTTTCCATTTGGGCTCAAGCTTTCCTTTGATTCTTCGTGAGACTACTATGGGTGTTCTAACTATTAGTACCAAGTCTCCCTTTTTAAAGGAGCGAAGCCTCACTCTTTTATTGAATGCATTTGCCATCCTTTGTTGGTAGATCTCCAAGTTCTGTTGAGCATACAACCTTCTTTCATCTAGGGTCTCCAGCTCAGCCAACCTCACTCTTGCACTTTCATCTTCTGTTAAGGACTCTTGTATTGCCACTCGCAATGATGGTATTTGAACCTTAAGTGGTAACATTGTTTCTCCTTCAAAAACCAACGAATAAGGGGTTGCTTGAGTAGGAGTTCGGTGCGAAGTCCGATAAGCCCACAAAGCTTCATGTAACTTTTTATGCCAAGCTCTTTTGTTATTATCCACCATCTTCTTGAGAATTTTGCACAATGGCTTGTTGAAAGCTTCTGCCAAACCATTGGCAGGTGCATGATATCTTGATGAATGGTTGTTTTTGATTTTGTACTTGGCAAATAACTTGTTCAAAGCATCACTCCTGAACGGCTGTCCATTATCCATAATGACATTTTCTGGAATTCCGAACCTGTAAATGATATGGGTTCGGATGAACTCAGAGACAACTATGCTTTTTATATCCTTTAAAGCCACGACCTCTGCCCATTTTGAGAAATAGTCAGTAGCAGCTAGGATGTATCGATATCTTGCTGAAGATGGAGGTACAAAAGGACCAACAATGTCCATACCCCATGCTGCAAATGGCCAAGAACAAGTTGTTAAATGTAAAGGCTCTGGGGGTTGGTGGAGAAAGTTCCCATGGAATTGGTAGACTTGGCATCTTCGAGCATAATCTATGCAATCTGCAATCATTGGCGGCCAATAGTATCCCAACTGTTTTAGCTGCATATGTAATTTAGGATCACTTTAGTGTGCCACCTGCATGTATTTCTGCCATTACCTCTTGAATACGCTCCTTGGCTATACACCGCATATACATTCTATCCAAAGACCTTTTGTATAACCCATCCTTCCACAAGACGAATTGGTAGCCCTGCATCTCACTTCAATTCTTTTTACTTTATCTTCAGGTAGCCTACTATGTTGGAGGTAAGCTATGAATGGTTCCCGCCAATCCTCCTCGCTTTCTCCCTTCGTGGTGACGACCAAGATTGGAACCAAGTCAGAAACTTTTTTTAAAGGTTGTAACACCCTTCTTTCACCTACCGTGATAGTAATTGTTTTACTTTCTGGTAGGATGAGTGATGCAGCCAAACTTGCAAGTGAATCAGCTCGAGCATTTGTTCTTCTCTTCACATGGAAAATATGTGTTTTCCTGAATTGCGAAAGCAATTGATCAGTACTTTCATGATACGGGATGAGACTTGTTTTCTTAACAATGTATTCTCCACGGAGTTGCTTTACCACAAGTTCCGAATCTCCATAAATTGAGAGTTCTTCAATAGGAATTTGTAATGCCAATTCTAATCCAGCAATTACAGTTTCATATTCTGCCTCATTGTTGGAGCATCCTTCACTTAAGGCGAAAGAATGGGTGATTATAGCATTGTCTGGAGTCACAAACACAATTCCAATTCCAACTTTGTTGTTTTTAGGATTTTCTTGCTTCTTGCCATCTGGACTCCTTGAAGCTCCATCAAAATACATCTCCCATCCTTTTTGGATTTCTACTTGCATAACTTCTTCATCTGGTAAATCAGTTACTAGAGGTGAGTTATCAGGTATAGGATGTGCTGCCAAACAATCTGCTAGAGCCTGCCCCTTTACAGCTCTTTGGAAAACATATTCAATTGCGAATTGTTGGAGAATTACAACCCACTTTTCAATTTTCCCTGAAAGAATGGGCCGTGAAAGTATATATTTCAAGGGGTCTGCTCTTGATATCAACTTGAAAGTATATATTTCAAGGGGTCTGCTCTTGATGCAAAGTATAAGAAGCTCAAGGAAGGCTAAATTCAAAGAAGCAATGATATTTGGATATTGGCATGATTTCATAGAAAAACCGATAGGAATTTTATATAATTATGTTTCTAGTATTTTTAGAGTATTATTTTATGATTATTTTTATGTTTTGTAGGATTTTTAGGTCAAGGGTATTTTGGTAATTTTCATTATTGTTGTCATGGGCTGTAGCGGTCGCCCATGGGTCGTCTTGTGGGTCAAGTTATTTGATTTGATTTGATTTGATTTATGTTTCTTATTTGGTCTTAAATTAGTTTTGGAAGTCTAAACTATTATAGTAGTTTCCTTTTTTGGTTCTAATTGATTTATGAAGCCTCTTAGTTCTATATAAAGCCATGTAATGCTTTTAATTATATGGAGTTGATATTTTATAAAAAGTTGAGAGCTTTGAAGCTTCTTAATGGATTGTGTGATGCAATCAAACCCTAGGTGTGATGCCTATGGAATCTACATGTGATGCCTAGACCTATCTTCTTCTTCTCCTTTCTTCTTCTTTTATGTTTTAGTTTACTATTCACGAGTTACTGTTCACAGCCTCATAGCAGCCCCTAAACAGTGCTAAAATCCCATCTTTTCATGCTTAAACTCTTACCTATTTATTACCCTAGACAAACCCGACTTGTTCCCTATTTGTCCTGCATCACAAGACATGTCTTTTGGATAGGAGAATAATTGACTTCTGCCCCAACCAGAGTACGACTCAAGTAATACAAGGCATTTTCTTTCCCATGCTCATTGTGTTGTGCCAACAGTGCCCCTAACGAACCATCCAGGGCTGTTATGTACAACAAGAGTGGTTTTCCTTTTATTGGGCTCATGACTACTGGAGGCTTCAAAAGATACTCCTTAATACTATTAAAAGCATTTTGGCACTGCTGATTCCATTCAAATGGAACACCCTTTTTCATCAATCTTGAGAATGCCAAGCATCGACCAGCCAAGTTCGAAATAAATCTTCTGATATAAGCCAATCTCACTTATAGCCCCTTCAATTCCCTTAAATTTCGCGGAGGAGGCATTTCAGCAATGGCTTTAATCTTAGTAGGGTCAATTTCAATCCCTTTGTTTCAAACCACAAAACCTAGAAATTTTCCTGAGGAAACTCCAAATGCACATTTTAGTCGGTTCATCTTGAGTTTGTATCTCCTCAAACGTTCGAAGATTCTTCTCAAATCTTCCACATGGTTTTCCTTCTCCTTTGTCTTGACGACAAGATCATCAACATAGTATTCAATGGTGTCATAGAGCATATCACCGAAAATTACAGTCATCGCCCTTTGATACGTGGCCCCAACATTTTTCAGGCCAAAAGGCATTACCTTATAACAAAAGACTCCTCTCGGAGTCCTGAATGCAATCATTTCTTCATCTTCAGGTGCCATTCGGATTTGATTGTATCCTGAGTATCCATCCATAAAAGACAAGGTTTCATACCCAGTAGTTGCATCTACAAAAAGTTCAGTGATGGGCAAGGGAAAGTCATCTTTAGGACAAGCCTCATTAAGATCACTGAAATCAATGCAAACCCTGATTTGACTATTCTTTTTCTTGACCGGCACTATGTTTGCTAGCCAGGTTGGATATTTGACTTCCCTGATGAATCCTGCATTGTTAAGCTTCTCGACTTCAGCTTCAATTTGGGCTGTAAGCTCTGGTCGAGTTCGCCTCTGAGGCTGTTTAACTGGCCGTTTCTCAGGGTGAATTGCAAGCTTATGAACTGCAATCTCTGGATTAAGAACAGGCATCTCACTGTAGTTCCATGCAAATATGTCACGATACTCCCTTAAGAAGGAAATATATTGCCGAGCTTCTTCTTCCTTTAAATTTGCACTAATGAAGGTTGGTTTGTTTTCTCCTTCATCACCCAGATTTACCTCACGAAGGTCATCCACAGTGGCTTGGCCTCCTGCTTCAAATTCTGTTGGTGCAGGTTGAGCTTCATCTTGGTCAACATCTTCCAACACATCTTGAGTGATAGTCATGTTTACTGGAAATTTTTCCTCATCCCCCCGATAGCCTAACCCTTCTGTCCTAGCGGTGATAATACCGCCTTGCTGGATAGCCTGCCTCTGTGAAGGTGATAATGCAAAGTCAAAGGGTGTCATTGTTCCTGGTATTTTTTTAGGATCTAAACCAACTTTTACCAACATCTGTGTAATTTCTGCACTGAAGGTAGGCTTCTCAAAACTTGAGATGTTTTCTTCTGGCACTTGTTCAATTTTCACTTTTTGTTCAACATCTCCAAGTGAGTGGAATATGATGGGTTTCGACCCTTTTCCTTTAGGAGGGACGACAATCTTATTATATTTCTCCACATAGGTGCATTTCGTCCTCCTTAATGGCAATGTGAACTCACCCTTGAGATCCAAAATTGGATTTATTGGGGCTAGATCCTTTGCCCCTAGTTTCCTTTCG